TGAGTTATTATTCCAAAATGGCTACTTGTCCTATATGGGTCCTGTGATCGTCAATGTATAATGTATTATGTTATAGGACTTCCCTGAATGTTTCTTAATGCTTTGTTTTCTATAGTGTATGTGAGATTATTACTCCAATGTACTATTTCTAGGTAATTCCTATTGGGCCTTAGTTGTGCTAACAAGCAACACATCACCATCTCTGCCTCCATACAGTTCAAACTTTAAAAGTATATTATACAGTTGATTGTAGAACAATTAATAAAACTAGAAGCAGATTACTATCTATAGTTCTCAGAGTTACAATCTTCCTGTTAACCTTATTTTTCATATAACAAAGGGTTATGTGTTGGTATAGCCAAAATCTATTTTAAAGGAAATAGAGATATCCAGTTAAAAATTTATTTCCTCTTCCATAAGTCATACGAATATACAGTATTCGCTCCCAAAGAGGCACACACATGCATCACACACTTGACATTTCCAAGATTCCCATTACCATGGTATCTAGGCACCATGGCTCATGTGAAGTGCTTCATTTCTTGTTGGAACAGCACATGATATTACAAAGGATTTGAACAAAACAGCATAACCAACATAATTTTCCTGACATACGCCAGTGATGTAGATGGCTATACAGTGGAAAGTTGAGGAGAAAAAGTGTGTTTAATCAAATGCATTTAATCACCTTGGCCTAGCTTATTAAAATTATTCACCTTTAAAAAGCCTATTTTAAAATGATTTTTGTGAAACTTATTGTTAACAAATGTAATTTTTGATTGATAATAGGAAGTACCTGAGGAATGGAGTCATAGCTGTAACCATATACATTCTCTTTATTTTCCTTTGTGCTATTCTCAAAGCTGGGTTTGAGTTTGAACTGTAGGTTTTTGTTTAGTCTCTCTTTTAATGTGTTTTTAGACTTTGTGGCTCAGCTTAAAGCCTACAATCAGTTTGTAATTTCCATGAAATTATAATTAATACTAGAATTTTCTGCCTATTATGAACTTTTGGCTCATTCTTTCCAGGTAGCACTGATTTATTTACTTGCTTCCTAAACATGGTAGTTTCCCCTGAACTTTAGCTTCATTATAATAAAGTATAATGAGTTGCCACAGCCTGAGTGATGGAACTCTCCAAAATTGTTGCATACTTCTTTAAATATTTATTTTTGCATTTTCTCCCTTTTAAATTATTATACTTGAGCTAAGAATTTGGGGAGGCAACATTGCTTTATATTGCACTTTTTCTGTGCATTTAGCCTGTCTGATTATTTGTATCACATGTCACACAAATCAAACTGCAACTGAATCACACACTCATCTGCTATAGGAACCTCTGTTATTCAGGAGATTTCAGTCCTTCTTTAAACAGTGAGATTTAATCAGAAAATAAACAGTTATGCACTTAAGTCATTGAGTATGGCTGCTAAGCCTATGCACATTATACCAAACAAACCTATGTTTTAACTCTCTTCTGGCTCTTTGGTACGTAAGTCATATCATATAAGATTCCTTTACACTCATAAATATTAATTTTTAAGTTATAAAAACCCTTACAGGAATTATGTGCCACTTTTATGAAGCATGAAGTTTCATAAAATAATTTGGTCAATTATTGAATATAAATTGGTTAAATGATTATTCTCTGAAATTGGATTTCCTTTCCATAGTAACATTTTCTTATGACAATAGTGATTTTCAGCCAAATGACCACCAGTAGCATTAACCCTCAAACAGGTCAGAATGACAAACTATTTTCAACAGCACTGTACATTTGATAATAATAATGCTTCCCAATTTCAGGTTATGGAGCAACATGGAGGCAGTGTTCTTGTAAGTAGTTCAAGATTAGAATCCAATATCTTTGGACAGGGACTAAGGATAGTACTCCTCACTGTACTGAATCAGTAATGCTTTCAAGCAGAGTATCCCCCCCTGATCCCCCTAAAAAGGGGCTTCCCAACAAAGTGAAGAACATGGCTCTATGCCATAGTTTAGGAGGTGCTGGGATGATGCTATTTGAGGGAGAAGATGTAGCTGGTGCTTCCTATGCCTCCTTAATAATACAACAGGCCCGGAAATGTTGTCACTGAGGCACAAGGTGAGGAAGCCCTCAGGGCTAGGCCCCCATAAACACAAAATGGGAAGGCGTAAGCCTCTCTTCCTTTGTCCCCTCACCAGGTTCTGCTGGTGCAGAGATGAATCCCCTTTTTTGTCCTACTACGTGTTTTGAAAAGGGTCAACCACACTAACAACAAACATTCAAAAGTGAGGCTGTCAAATTATTAAAACCAACAGACTGTTATCATATTTGTTTCATACTGTCACTTTTGTAAGTAACCAAAATTTTGTGGCCTATCAAATTTTTACTGCTGGCCTGACTTTCAGTTGAAAGTGACTGTTGAGGGAAATACAGTGGCTGCATACTTTAAAACTTGGCATGTTGAAGCACTGGGAAATTTTACCATTGTTCATGTTAAGATCCTGTTAAATCTCCATTTACTTCATGTGCATTTGCTTACAGAATAACGGAGAAAATAATTGTAAATTTCATAAACCATTCAACTGGGGCTTTGGGATCTTGATTCTTTTCATGTGTTTAAAATGGTTTGCTGCTTAGCCTCATTAAGCCCACACTCCCCAAAGATATGCTCTATTTATGCACAAAATGTAGCAGAGAAATGGTAGCGGGAGGGGGGAGAAGGTGGTGGGTGTCTAATGGTTTTGCCATTAGATTCCAGAAGAACTTTTCCAAGGTTGTATGAATTTCCCTAGTGATCCTTTTTGAAAGAAAGGATTTTGCTGTCCACAATGCAGTCAGCTGGAAACCTTGCAAACAGCCTTCATCTATGCTGTGCTTCCAAGGGGAAAATCACTGCAAGGAAAATTGATTTTAGGGCCATTGACCTCAGTAACAACAACACTCTTTGGCCCACCCATGCAAGAAGTAAACTGCAGTGCAGTCATTCAGCCAATCTGCAGATTGGCTTTACTAGGTCTCTCTTCTCCCTGAGCTGTAATATGTCTTTTTGCTATAGAATTTGGCTGAGCCAGAGGGAAAGTTCTGAATCTCATGTAACCTGAGCTCAAGATGGTTGTTCCGCTTCTTATGGTGTCAGATCCTAAACTATATGAAATGAATTACAGATCAGAGATGGAAGACCCATGTCCTACATAATAACAGTGTTTAAGTCATAAAACTGATGCAATCTGAGGCTAGTCTCTAGAGGCAATAATAATTAAAACAAACCATTCAACACTTATGGGTCAGATTCTGCTCTCATTTTACTTTAGCTTCAGTAGAGTTTATCCAGAGCTATCCAGGTGTAAGAAAGAACTACATTTGACCCACCTATGGTTTACAAAAAACAAAACCTAAAATTCTTCCATACGAGTTTATAAAAACAAAATGAAGGGGAAGTTTACTGTATGTGTTGCTCGTGATGGTGAAGAACAAAGATATGCATGTTCCCTTCATCAGCAATGAGACTGACATGTACCAGATGAACTCGTCAGGCAGCTCCTATTGCTTTGCCATAATTTCTGAGTTGCTATGCTTAGATCTTTATGAAGCTACAGAACTGTACTGTCTACCAAGCTAAAGAATTTGGCTGATTAAATTATCTTCAAAAATATGCTTCAAAGGATTCCTATACAATGTCTAAAACTAAATTATGGTGTAATATTAGCTGATTAAGAGACTACTTCAAACTGAGTAATTTCCATCAGATGGACACAACAGTGGTTAAAGCAATGATATCTATGTGAATAGTGCCTGATGTGGGTCGTCATAATGTGATGAAGCACAAAGAAAAAACAAACAAGGAGTTTTTTTCAAGAACACAGATAAGGAAAAAATGACTTAATCAGTGATTTCTAAATTATTATTTATAATATGCAAAGCTGTAGCCATGTTGGTCTCAGCTTATTGGAGATACAAGGTGAGTGAGGTAATCTTTCTATTGGATCAATGTCTGTGGGTGAGAGAGTCAAGCTCTTGAACTTACGCTGAGCTGTGTGCACCTTGTCTCTGTATTATTCATAGTTTCTCTCTCGTATGTACTTTTATGATCACCATTACTACAGTATCTCAACACTTCTAATGTATTTCTCCTCAGAAGACAAAAATCTGTCTTTCCTATTTAGAATCTAAGTTCTTCAGAGGAGGGATGTGATTTACCATGTGGTTTGTACAGTGCCTAGCGTAATGCAACTCTGATATCAGTTGGAGTCCTCTTTACTATCCTAATACCAATAAAATAATAGTAATAGCAAAAGAGATTTTAAATTGAAATTAACCTTCAATGAACAAAGCAGAAATTGGAAATCATATCTATGGGTATGTCTACACTACCCCGCTAGTTCGAACTAGCGGGGTAATGTATGCATACCGCACTTGCTAATGAAGCCCGGGATTTGAATTTCCCAGGCTTCATTAGCATAAGCGGGGAGCCGTCATTTTTAAATCCCCGCTGCTTCGAACCCCGTGCAGCGCGGCTACACGGGGCTCGAACTACTTCGCCATCTACTATGACATTAACTACACTGGGTAATTAAGTATCGTCTACAAACTCTGCCACCTCACTGTTGATCTCCTCTTCCAGCCCATTCACAAATATGTTCATCAGCACTTGTCACAAAATCCGCTTATGCTAATGAAGCCCGGGAAATTCAAATCCCGGGCTTCATTAGCAAGTGCGGTATGCATACATTACCCTCCTAGTTCGAACTAGGAGGGTAGTGTAGACATACCCTATGAAATGTTTTAGGTGCATTTTTATTACCAAAAATGTATATTAATTGGGGTATATTTTTAAGTCTATATATTATAGATTTGTTTTCATAAATTATCCTGTTCTCTTCCTGAAAAACAAAAATAATACCCTCCAAACAATTCACTTTAAACTGTTGGCAAAAATATGTAGCAAGACTGAAAACATGTACAAAGTTTTGCATGATACCTTGCATATGATTTCCCATTCAAGAAGGTAAACCAACCTTTGTTAGCACAGGCCATCCACTTGAGGTTATCAGCAAAAGCTGCCTCTCTTCCAATCAGATAGGTAAACATGCGAACCTGAAAGTACAATAGGTATTAATTCACTTTTTTACTACAGTATCATGCTTAATACATACACAGATTATCTATTTTACATATGTGAAGTTCACATGTGTAAAACACATCAGAAAGTTCTAAAGGATTGCTGATTTAAAAATCTCTGCTAATAAGATATTTATGACACAGTGTGTGTCTTTGTTCTGTTTTAACAAAGTGGCTTATCAATGTGGATGTTTTTAATACCTGGCATTTAATCAAAGCCATAAGTAAAGATAAAATAGAACAAGTTTAAACTATTGGGTTCATGATATGAAGTCACATGTTTGAAATGTCTGTTGTGCAGTTGTGAATTTAGGAGGCTGCTCTGGACTTGGGGTTGTATTTTAATAATTAAATACATCAGTGTTATAGATGTAGGAACTTGAAAAAACTTGTTCTATTTTGTCTCTGTCTTTCAAAAACAATGTATACACCGAAGTACCTATACTCATAATACTGATGATATACAGGTGAAGAATTGCAGAGTCATGTGACAAATTGCTTTGACCACGCTCCTGAAATCTGCCCACTTATACATCTCACTGAGACTACTATCATTTCAATTTTTGAGCAGCCTCAAACAGCTGCCATTTAAATCTCCATATATATATATAAGACTTCCTGACGTTTGAGGGAATGACATCATTAGGCTCTCTAGCCACAAAAGTGGCCAGAAAGAGGGGGGTTGGCGAACATCGTGAGGAGGTTGCAGCCCCCTAGTGTATAATTGTAACCCCCAAGGAGATTACTTAGATTCCCTGGGCTTTGTCTGCTGGCAGCTCAGGGAGAGGTACTCTGAGTTTGCCTTGGCTCCCCCTTCCTACCAGCGTCAGAGTCTGCCCGGCAACCCGTAGGGAGTGAGATGCCCCTCCCAGGGAGTTCAGGAGGGGGAAGGAGAGGCCATTGTGAAGAGAAGTCTGGAGCCAGCCAGGGCAAGGGGAGGACTGTTGTGTGGGATCTAGTAAGCCCCAGGCCTGATTGCAGGGTTCCCCCTGAGAACTAGCTCTAGGGACCTTAAGGCAGGATCCCTCAGCTGGGTTTTATGTTTCCACTGTTGATTCCCAGTTTGTGGAGTTTGCTGGGAGGCTTCCCCAGCCAGGCTGAGTTGGCTCTCCAGCTCCCTGGGTGAGACCGATCACGGCATGGTCAGCTCTGCTCTATTTGCTAGTTCAGGGCTGCTGTGTGGGTCTGAATACTGGGCTAGGAGGTTATAGTTTGAATTTTGGTGCAGTTGTGTGGTCTGCACCTTGAGCCCTGCACCCCTTCGCGGTGAGGGGAAATTCTGGGACCAAAGCAGCCTGATTCCTGCCTGAAGAGGATCCATGCGAGAAGAGAGCAGCCCCTCTGCAGTGACTGAGTCATCTCTAAACCTGAGGCTCATTCATGGAGTGTGTGAGTGCACCAATTTGTTTGGGGATTTTATTACCTGCTGCATATTAAACCTGTGGTGGGATTTATTGCCTTCTCCCATATGTGAATCCTTTGGACTGTACTGGACCTAGTCAGCCCTACTGCTAAACCACTGCAGAGAAGAATTTTGTGGTCAAAAGTCATCATGGGCCCCAACAAAGTACGCGTACCAATGGGACACTGATCTTACAGTTGCTGTGCTCCAGTGACCCTAAAAATAGTGTTTTACCCTGTTCTTTTATATTTGTCTCCTGTTTAATATAATTGTGTTTATTATGGTGTGTTTGTGTTATTTTCTGGGAGTCTCCAACTATCTGGCAAATACACGGAGATTACCCTGGGCTAGAATTTTCCTCCCAAGCTGCCTTGGTGACCCTGCCAGGAAGGAGTGAGGGGGTGGAGGCACCGCCAAATCCTTCAGAAAAAATAAAGTTGAATGGGTGGCAGGATCCAGAAGAACCCAGACCTATCCATCAAAATCTGTAAGGAGATTGACTTTAAAGAAGGTAACCAGGAGGAAAGGGGGCGCTACATAATAAAGTAAAACAAGTCAATGAAATGATTCCCTCTCTTCAAACCTCGTCACTCAAACTCTTCTCTCTAAATTCCTATTTATTTAATATAGATACTTAAATGACTTCTGTTATCTTACTAGCTAAAGGCCTCACAGACATTAATGAATTTATCCTTACAAAACACCACTAAAGCATGAAGGGTTATCCTGTTGACACAGAGAGGGGCTAAGTGACTTCAATGCAGTCATGCAAGAAGACATGCCAGAACTGGGAACTGATCTAAGCTCTCCAGAGTCCCAAGACTTCCCCTTTGGAAACAATATTTTTCTTTGAATTTTACTCTCCAATTTCTAGCATCTGATGTATTTTATTTTGTAATTCTTTGTACTTCTCTAATGGCTTTTGAAATGCAAATACAAGAAGTTTATTACAGATGTTCATGAAGTCTGAGAATGCTCCAGAACCTAGGTACATTATTGTTAGTGCAGCATGAAACTTTTATGCTAAGCACCAAAACAGGTGAAACTTCCCAAAACTCACCTGATTTGGGTTTCTGATGAACCCCCTGAAGTGACCAAGGATGGCCAGGGACACCTAATCTCCACTTCACAATCCCCCGCCTCTTAAAAAGAATTCATTCTCTTTCCTACCCACTACCATTTTTTGTACCAGAGATGGATACTGCTCTTTTGCCTGAACATAAGCACAGGATGCTTTTATCAAACTCTTCATTCTTCATTCCTCCTATCTCCGGTCTTTGGGATGCCAGCAAGACAGTCCTGGCTTCACTAAATTTAGAGAATATCTTCAGGGAAGAAGAAAATGTACCCAGAAAATGACTAATCAGAGCTCACTTCCTTCCTTACCTTAATGACTAGACCAGGAGGAGTCTCCAACCTTTTTATGCTTGCAACCACTTTTTGAATTTAAGTGCAATCCAAGATCTCCCTGAATCTCAAATACCCTTGCCCCACTTCCTTTGTGCCCCCTCTCCAAGGCTCCGCCTCTGCTTGCTCCATCCTTCCTCCCTCCCTTTCACTAGGCTCCGGCAGCGGGTTGGTGGGGGCAGTCTCTGGCCTTGGATTAAGGGATTTGGAATGTGAGAGGGGCTCTGAGCAGCAGGCAGTTGGGGTGCAGGAGGGAGGTTCTAGGTGCAGGTTCTGAGAGGGCATTTGGATGCAGGGGTGGTCTGGGCTAGGGATGTAGGACTAGGGGGTAGGGTTTCGGGATGTGGGCTCCAGCTGGTTCACCTCAGATGGTTCCTGGGTGGTGGTACAGTCGGGCTAAGGCAAGATCACCCTAGCCCTGGCCCTGCGCCACTCCCAAAAGCAGCCAGCAAACTCTTTAAGCCCTGTTGTGACCCTTCTCTGCTCTATGGGGATAGGATACAGAGTGGGAGAAGAGGCACCTTGACATCAGCATCCTCCTCTCCTTCCCTTGCCCTGCAAGGGGTGAGGAGCAGCTCCAAGGTAGAGGGCGGGAGCAGCATGGCAGTGCTGAGAAGGGCAGATGAAGTGCCAACACTTAACAGCCTCCTGGCCAAATCTGTCAGGATCATCTGTCAGAGACTCTAAGATCTACTTGTAGATCCCAATCTACTGGTTGGTGACCACTGGACTAGAGTATTTTCCCCTTGAACCATGACAAAATCCCAACAGGAAAGAGAACACTAGAACACCTGTTTCTTTTTCTTGGCAGAGATTCTACAGAACCTTCTTTAGTTAGTTTCTCACTTGTAAACTGCTTGCCATAGCTCTTATCAAGCCATCAAATTCAGACTCAGACAGATTTTTTGGAGATTACAAATATAGAATAATTATACAATGTCATATAATACTTCTTATTACTGTTAAATAGGTATTTTAATAAGAAACATGAAACCATGCTAAATGCTGGTTTCTATTACTAGAAAAAACTGCCACAGATTTCAAGTAATAATTATCAGGTAAAACATACTGCAGGAGATTTTTTTCCTTTAAGCAGATTTTTGACAAGCAGATGTTAGTATTTTCTGATGGCAGATTCTTAAAAAAATAAAAACAAAAACCAAGAATCAACTAAGTGGCTCCCAATCCGTAAAGCAATTAACACAGTACAGTAGGGAACACATTCAAAATCTTTACCTCAAAAAGCCCATTGCTTCAAATAGATATGTATTACTAAGTAATTCCAAAGCAAAAAGACCATCTCTTTAGCAGAGCTACACTCAGGACACTCCTACAGAGATGAGTATACAATAGAATTTAAACCCTGGTCCTACACCTTTGTAGTCAATAGGAGTTTTCCCACTGACTTCAGTAAAACCAGTTTATAGAACCGTTAATTAGCCATCTCAAAAATTTAAATTTAAGATACCTCTTTTGATGAAAAGCTTTCTCCTTGTTAGTTCCCCTTCAGCTGCTGTTTATTATGCTTCCAGACTTTTTGTATTGAATTTTGTACTTACGATCTGGGTAGATCACTAACAGCTTTTGCTATAGTGTTTTCATTTCAACCTGCAGTATTCCTGCTCTTCAATTCCTTTCTTAAACAGAAACCACCATTATCAAATTTCATGGTTGTTTTGTGACAAGAACAAAAGGAAATTAGGGGTGAGATCAAAAACTCTGGTATTTTGAACGCAGTCTTCCAAAAGTAAAAAAGATTGTGCACCATCTCACAAATTTCAGTCTCCTCTTAGCTATTTAGAGAATGCTTCTTTCATTTCTTGTCACCATGTTACACTTGTCAGGTTTGTCTGACACACAACATTAAAGTACATGGCATGCCATTAGGAGGTAATATTGCTCTTTTTTTGACATTATTACTGCTTCTTTGCTTTTTGACTAAGATCAAATACAGTGTCAATTTCATATGTGATATGAGTTCTATTGAAAAGCTACATTTTGCTTTTTCAGGCCAGTGGACTTGATTTAATTAATAGATATCTCTTTTATCTCTAACTTCTGTGATCCTACTACACTAGCCTGATGCAACCCAGAAAAACCAGATGAACACATACACTTTGAAAATAAAGTATTTTTCCAAGATGTGTTCTTAAAGTATCTTTGAGAT